ACCTTTTTTTTTTTTTTTTGGTAGAAATGTGCTTCCATACTTCAGTGTCACATGATCCTTCAGAAATCACCCTAATATACTGATTTGGTGATCAGGAAACATTTCCTTTTATTATCAGTGTTCAGTGTTAAAGTGGTGCCTAATATTTTTATGGAAACCAGATATTTCTACAGGATTCTTTCATGAAAGTTCAAAGAACAGCTTTTTTTTTGTAACATTATAAATGTCTTTACTATCACTTTTGCTTAATTTAATGTGTCCCTCCCGAAAAAGCTCTTGACAGATACAGGATGGAATAAGAAAGAGAACGGAGGTGTGTTTGTTATCGATGATTTCTAAAATGCCTCTAGCTGGCATTGATCGCACAAAAGAACTGTCCGTGTGAGAGTGTTTATGCATCGCGTGGTGCAGTTTGGCATCAAGCCTTTGACAGGTTGCCTCTTATCACTGACATATAGATAAATGTCTTCCACTACTTCATAACTTCTCGCTGTCCAGCCTGCTCACTCACCGCTGCTTTTTAAAGAGCAGCAAAATGTCATGAATCCCAATCCATAAGTATAATACATAGGCGCCATGTCATAGCATGCAGATTGTTTTGGAGTGCATATTGGTAATTTATGTTGTCGATTTGACATTGATTGATTTTTGCATGTCTAATAACGTTCAAGCTTAAATTAGAGGCAAAATAGCTAGTCATATTTTGAGGTTTGGGGCGGTGGTAATTGCTTCAGGATGTAGACTGTTTTTGCTCATAAAAAGATGCCTGTTTTTATTGTCACCATTAAAAGGCTCTGAAAATACTGCGGCACATCAAATGTCCACATAGTTTGGGCACCATTGATATGCAGATGTGGAGGACAAATGCAGTCTGGCAATTATCCGAAATCGTACACGGCCTTCTGAAAGGGACACACCTGAGAACTCTGCACATTTGAGAAGCTTTTCATAGACATTTGAAGAAACTGCAAACATATTATTTGATAACTCTGAAAATAGGTCTCTCGGGGAAGAGGTGTTTTCATAATCACATCTTGAGGATGTCAGCAGAAAAGCAAGTATTA